CTCCTCCTCCTCCTCCTCCTCCCCTTCTTCCTCTTCCTCACTTTACAGACGAAGTAGCTTGTGTCATTCCGGATGAATGCAAACAAATATGTGGCACAGAAGTTGGGTGTTCTAACATTGCCTATCCAAAACTGGTTGTGTCTCTCATGCCAAATGGTGAGAATGAAATTATTTCCTTTCTGACCCCCATACTCTCGCTTTAGCCAAAGTTGCTGGTGGTGGCATGCCTGGAAGAGCACCGCAAAATCAAACCACTTGTCCATCTAGTTGGGACCATCAACAATAAAGGAGGAGTTTGACAAGCCCTATTACAGATAGCAGTAGGGCTGAGTAGTGGCTCAGTGGCTAAGACGCTGAGCTTGTCAATCAGAAAGATCGGCAGTTTGGTGTTCAAATACCTAACAAAGTGAGCTCCTGTTACTTGTCCCAGCTTCTGCCAACCTAGCAGTTTAAAAGCATGTAAAAAATGCAAGTATAAAAATAGGAACCACCTTTGGTGGGAAGATAACAGTGTTCCATGTGCCTTCGCCGTTTAGTCATGCTGACCATATGACCATGGAGATGTCTTTGGACAGCAGTGGCTCTTCAGCTTTGAAACGGAGATGGGCACCGCCCCCTAGAGTTGGGAATGACTAGCACATATGTGCGAGGGGACCCTTTACCTTTTACCTTTATTACAGATAGCAGGATTTGGGACTCTACCATTGAATTAGAGGTCCCAGCTCTGTTTTGAATTTAACCAGCTGCACGGCCCAAGAGATGATGAATGCTGGAATTCATTCCTTGTTCCTTTCCATTATGTTTTACTACCACAGGCCTTCGGGGGCTGATGTTAGCAGTGATGCTGGCAGCTCTCATGAGCTCCCTGGCCTCCATCTTCAACAGCAGCAGTGCCCTCTTCACCATGGACATCTACAAACGCTTGAAGCCCCAAGCCAAGGAGAGGGAGCTGTTGATTGTGGGCCGGTGAGAGAGAGATCTGGGACATCCTATGTTCATGTACACCCTTCCTTTCCTATTGCAAAAGAAATCCCTGGCATCGTGTTAGTCTTCCTCTTCCTCCATTGGGTGCCCTACAGATGTGTTGTGACTTATGTAATTCTTCCCTGTTGTGGCTCACCAGAGGAGCTGGCAGCAGATTTGGACAGTGAGGAATTTGGGGAGGAACATGGGCCAGTCCTGGAGTCTGGGGAAGGCTCTGATGAGGGCCCTGTGTTAGAGGCAGAGATGGGGCCAAGGCCGTCTGACAGCTATCAGCTGCCTTTGGAGTCAGAAATCAGTGAGGCAGATGAACAGCTGGAGCCTGTTCCGACTGTGGCATGCGCAGAGTTGCCAGATGAAGGGAACAGCTAAAGAACAGGGGTCGACTTGGGAGTAAGGCCACAGGTGGACGGTGAATGGCCCCTCCCATAGGGAATAAAAGAGGAGTGAAAGGGGAGGGGTGTTTGGAGGAGACAATTAGTTCATTCCTGCATTCTTGCCAAGTGTTGTGGCGTCTGAAAGATATCGGCCTGGCCACTCTCCAAGCCTGATAAAAATCAGTAATTGTGAACTATCTTGAAAGACTGTGGGCCGGGATTTTGCTGGAGAGGAATTCACTGTAAATTAAATAAAAGGGGTTTATCGAGATGAGGATTCGGCTTCGTGCTGCTGGGTCAGCCTAGTTCAGAACATTACTATGTTCAGACAGATGCGGGGAAAACTGGTGATACCAACCAATTTAAAGCTTTAACTCAAAGGATGGCAACATTTTCAAAATGTGAGGGGAGTTGTACACTGATGTAGGCACCAAAACTCCATTCATTCATTCATTCATTCATTCATTTTCATGCATTCATTCATTGCAAGAAGCTAATATTCTCCTTTGGAATCTACAAGAACTAATGCACAGCGCCTGAAATTTTGCAAAGTCTGACAAATTTGTGAGATTATTTTCTTTAACTTTGGAAGTTGGAAGGCATCATCAAGGATTGTTAATGATACACACTCAACTGCTATAAACACTACAAGGAACGCACATTTGTACACTTCTCTGTTATTTTTGCCATACTGCAGGCCGTGTCAACTGCATTAGAAGCATGAATCTTAGGACCACGAGATAAGTAAATTTGACATGGCCGTGATTAAACCCACAGAAATCCTTTCCCACCTTCAATTAAACCCCACTTTGTAAGCATGTCCCCAGGGCATCCTGGGCAAGGGATACATTTTCACTTTGCTGTTTCTCTCTACAGGGTGTGGATCTTGCTGCTTGTGGGCATCAGCATTGCATGGATCCCTGTGGTACAAGTTGCCCAAGGAGGACAACTCTTTGATTACATCCAGTCCATCAGCAGCTATCTAGCCCCACCCATTGCTGCCATTTTTCTCCTTGGAGTCTTTGTCAAAAGGCTTAATGAGCAGGTGAGCAGGGTTTTTTTTTTAAAAAAGACACAGGCAACCATTTACTCCAAATAAGGAGTGGGATCCATGGAGGGGAACCACAAACACTCAAAATAGAGGGAATAAGAGTACCAGAATTTTAAGCCTAGTTAGAATGGTGGCATGTAGGTTACCTTAACTGCCCTACGCCAATTTGGACTTCCCATATAGTTAAATAAGTGACCATTCAGAGATTCCAGATACTGGGAAGTTGAAAAAAAATTCCTAAGAAGGCAGAAGAAATCCACTTCTTCCAAGTGCCAAAGTCATCAGCAGTTGGGTTGAAGTCAACAGTTTCATGATACACAGCCTTGGAGATGGGAAAACATTGGTCTACTAGCATGGAGAAATACAGGTGAAAGACATCTGTGTCACACATACTTCCAACTGAGGGGTCCTTCATGTTAATACTGATAATATTACCTAGTTAGGATAATGAAACGTCTGAAAGAAAACAAGCAAGCTCAGAGAGCACAAAGGACCCTTCATTTCATCCCTGTGTCAGACCTGGAAGCCAACATTTTTACCTTTTGGATTTCAGGCCTGCCATATTTCCTACTGTAGGAAAATGGGAGGGGGGATTATATAGAGTCTGACTGATATGTAGCCATAACAACATTCTTTCTCAGAAAGTCAAGGTGGACCGGCCCTGCAGCTGTGATGAGATAACTGGGAGGCCACTCCTGGCTTGGATGGTGCTTGATTGGGCCATGTGATGGACATGTGGGGGCTGGCCAGAGTCTTAAACTTTCATTTGGGTGGGAAAAGCCTGGAAGCTTTCAGATTGTGCCAATATGACATATTAAAATGGAACTTTGAGGAACTTCAAGCCTCGGAGTTTTCTTTTGTTATGGTTGTTACTTGGAACCCTGACACCCTGAGCTAAAAATATTTTCCTTTATTTGACACTTCCAGCTTCTTAACAATTATGCTTTCCCCAGATTTGCAATGGTTTCTCAGTTTTAGGGAACAGGGAAGGCCCCCGAATGGGATCAAAGTGTCACTGATACAATGTGAAGGCTTCTTCTTGTTTGCTCCTCATCCTCCATGTTCCTTTTCAGGGTGCATTCTGGGGCATGATGGGAGGACTAGCCATAGGCATGGCCCGAATGATCCCAGAATTCGTCTATGGGACAGGGAGCTGTCTCTTCCCAAGCAACTGCCCTCGCCTGATCTGTGGGGTCCACTACCTTTACTTCGCCATTATCCTATTCTTGGCTACAGCTGCCATTGCAATGGGGGTCTCACTCTGCACTTCACCAATTCCTGATAAACACGTAAGTACAGGGGAAACTTGGGGGGGGGGGGTTGAGAGAAATAATGGCAGTGCATTTGAATACAGGTAGTCCTCAGCATATGACCACAATGGGCACCAAAATTTCCATTGCTAAGCAAGGCAATGAGTTCAGCAACTCATGCCCGATTTTACAACCCTTTTTTGCCACGGTTGCTAAGTGAATCACTGCAGTTGTTAAGTGAATTGTGTGGCTGTTAAGCGAATCTGGCTTCTCCCATTGACTTTGCTTGTCAAAGGTTGCAAACGGCGATCGTGTCACTTTCTTCAGTGCCTGCTATTGAAACTCTGAATGGTCGCTAAACAAATATCGTTCTAAGAGTTGTGCTTCCTTCCCCATGTCCGCTTAAAGCTCTTCCATGTCAGACCTTCAAATCATAGAGGCCGTGGCCTAGAAAGGCCCCCTCTTTCGTATACTAAAGATAAAAGAGGACTAAGAAATCTTCAAGAGTCAAGGTTCATCTATTTCGTGTTATAAACCATAGCTTGGAACAATACATTAATATATGATGTTTGTTGGTAGGGATATAAGTACATAGTATGTATTCCATCCATCCATCCATCTCTCTCTCCCTCTCTCTCTCTCATCCCCCCCCCCCCGAATTTATTACATTTTAACCAAGCCTGAATTGGTTTTTAATTTCTGGTGGGAGGGGGGTTTCCTCTCCCCCCCCCTACTCCCAATATTTCTCTAATCCTCAACAGTCCATCTGCTACCTCTTCCTACTCACCCATTTCTCATCTTCTGATTGAACCAAGTTTTCTCGTTCTTTCGGGGCCCTATGCTGGTCCACAAACCTTTTACTTGGCAATTGAATAATTTACAATTGTCAGAGATTCCAAAGAAAATCGGAGAGGGTGACACCAAGGAGATTCCAGGGGATAGACCTGGAATCACTTCACCTCCCTCACTCAGAAATTGATCACCTGACAACCGAATGCACTCATTTCTCCTTTAGAGCCAAGCTAACCTTTTCTAGTCTGTTGCTGAGTTGGGCAACAGTTCCCCAGAAACCCCTTCCTTCCCCACCCAGTTATTCTGTTTCACTGTTTGTGCATCTTAAAACTTACATTCTGCCAACCCAGCTGCATCGCCTGGTATTCAGCCTCAGGCACAGCAAAGAGGCACGGGTCGATCTGGATACGGAAGAGGAGGAGGAGGAAGCAAAACAGCAGCAGCAGCAAGCAGAGAATGCAGTCACCGGGAATGAAAGACCAGAGCTGATCTTAGAAGTAGATGGTGAGAGGATGTTATGCTATGTATTTATTTGATTTACAGCTTCCCTTCATTTGGGAGCTCAAAAGCAGAGCCATTTGGTGTAGTGGTTAAAGTAATGGCCTAGAAACCAGGAGACGATGGATTCTAGTTCCACCTTAGGCATGAAAGCTGGCTAGGTAACTTTGGGCCAATCTCTCTTTCTCAGGCCAACCCACATCACAGGGTTGTTGTTGTTATGGGGGGGGAAGAGGAAGTATTATTATTGCCACATTGAAATACTTATAAAATACTTTGATTACTTTTAAAAGTACCTTCTTATAAAATAATAAAGGCAGGATAAAAATTAAATAAATAAAATGACCGTTGACTTACCTGAACGGTCCTTCTATGTGNAAAAAATACCTCACCAGATGGACTCACTTTCTCTTTTCATTTTTTTCCTTCCGGAGCATCCCTATTTCATCAGCCTAGGGGCTGCCTGTTTATCGCGGGCTTGAAGCACTTCCCTTGGGTCTATCAGGGATTTTGTGATATCCCTGACACCAGCAAGGCTTTGTCTTCCTGATCACCATCTCTACGGGATGGTTTAGGTCTCAATGGACCCCCCCAGCGGCAAAAGTGTCAATGGCAGTCTCAGAGTATTGAGACCGCATGTTGTAACATTGCGAAGTGGCTCCTCCTTTTCGTTGGTTTGAGACTTTTCACTGCTCATCAAACAGCTTCATCAGAATGTTGGAGATTCTCAGTTATGGATGTCCCAAAGGTGCTTTTTCAAAAGGCAACTAGACTTGGTTTTTCCTTGAAGACATTTCACTTCTCATCCAAGAAGCTTCTTCAGTTTGGACTTTTTGGGACAGCTTCGTCTGATAGAGCAAGTTGAGCAAAGAGTCATCGGAATGTACCAATTCATCCCACACCAACCTCAGGGGTTTTTCCCTCAAAGTGCGTGGGAATATTCTGATTGAAACATCTCAAGCCAACAAGACAATAAGTCCAATTGCCATGACTCAACTTTCAGGCAACTTTACCTGGATGACTGAAGTGTCTTCATGAATTAAGTGACATATGTTAACAATTAAGAGGATAACCAGTCAGAGAATGAAAGAATAGAATAGAACAGAACGGAACGGAATGGAATAGAATAGAATTCTTTATTGGCCAAGTGTGATGGGAGACATAAGGAATTTGTTTTTGGTGCATAGGCTCTCTTTTTATGTACATAAGAAGACAAGATACATTTGTCAAGAATCATAAGGTACAGCACTTAATGATAGTCATAAGGAAAACTAAGAATCAGGAAACAATCAATATCAATATAAATCGTAAGGATGCAAGCGATAAAGTTACAGTCCTGCAGTCATAAGTGGGAGGAGATGGGTGTTAGGAATTATGAGAAGACTAATAGTAATAGTAATGCAGCCTTAGTGAGTGGTTTGACAGTGGTGAGGAAATTATTTGTTTAGCAGAGTAACAAAGTACCAAATAAAGGAACCTGAAGTCTCTGTGTACCTAAACTACAACTTCCAGTATGTCTGATACAAAACAAATGTTAGGAATTGTAATATAGCAACATCTGGAGGTGCGTTTCTATCTCCAATGTGATTCTGAGGCTGTATACCCTCAAATTAGTATAAAGAACTACTAGTTTTCTCCTCTGTTCCTCCAGGTTTCATCCAGAAGTTAGACAACCATAGTACACATGTTTTCTGTTCAGAAGAACTCATAGAAAATAAAAATATTTCTTTCCATACCATTTATCAGAATTGAGTCCTACCCATGTGTAAGAAGCCACCCCCCCATCTCCCACAGAGAATGAAAATTTTTGGAGAACATTAAAAGAGGCCAAATGTTATATTTCCCCAAAGGAGAAATGGAGAAACATGCTCTTAAAGGCAGAAAAGAGCCCCAGTCTTCCTGCTATAGGAAAAATCAAGTTGCCTCGAGCAGAAGATTGAAGTCTTTAGAGATGGATATTTTGTGCCTATTAAGAAATCCAGGCCAGCCTAGTCAAAATACCTTCAGGACATAATAGGATTAACCCACCACCGCTGGAATAGTAAAAGACACAAGGCTCAAACATTGCAAAAAAACCCTGGAGCATCTCAATCACCAAACCCCAGAACCCTATAAAGTTCCATCCACTCACTCTGCCATTTTGTCAGCCACCACAGAAACATTGCTTCTGTCACTGAAGTTTCTGGAAATCAAATAAACAGAGACCTTCCTTCCAACCAGCAAGTCTCCATTTTATTTCCAGTGTCTTTCTCTTGGCTTGGAACCGGACTGGATTTTTCTTCCTACACATGGAAAAATTTCTCCTGCGGGTGTCTTGTGGAAAGGAAAGCTCCTATTTAATGTAGTGAGATCCAAACAGAATTCTCTGTAATGGCCTCCGTAAGTGGCCATCTCAGCAACTTTTAAAGAATTGCCCATATGCCATCTAGTGCAATCCCATGCTAAGGACAACATTGTAATCAAAATATCCCATTGAAGAATGTACTTTGTGGCCATCTAGTTGTTCAACTCCATATATTGTACCTAAAAAGGATACCCTAGAACAGAAATGAAGGAGATGGCATAGATGATTTACAGCAAACCTTCTCATTTGCATCCCATGTAGGTCATAGTACAGAGGTGCCTGGCCGGGAAGAACTTGATCCATGTCAAAGCTGGCTGCATCCTTTGTGGGTACCTCAAACTACTCCCCATGTTTCTCATGGTAATGCCTGGCATGATGAGCCGGATCCTGTATCCAGGTAATCCTCTGAGGTGATGGTTCAGGGGTGGGTTCCAGCCAGCTTTACTGCCAGCTCACTTGTGCGCACGATGGATGCACGCTGTGCATGCATGCACATTTCAAATAAAATTGTTCTGCGCATGCACAGAACTCAAAACCAAGATCGCGGTGGCAATGGGGAAACCAGTTTGGGGGCGTGGCAAGCTTCGGTCGCTGCTGGTTTTAGTGACCCAGGCTGCCATACCACTACCAGTTCGGCTGAACCAGGCCGAACCGGTAGGAACCCACCACTGGTTGGAATGTAGTTATCAGAACTAAAATGAGAAATGGTTGATCTAACTGAGCCAAAGAATGTTCTCAAATGGTACAGGTAGTCCTTGACTTACAACCACAATTGAGCCCAAAAATTATGTTGTTCAGCGAGATGGGGGGGTGAGTTTTGCCCCATTTTACAACCATTCTTGCCACAGTGGTTAAGTGAATCACTATAGTTGTTCAACTGGCAACACAGTTGTGAAGTGAATCTGGCTTCCCCATTGACTTTGTTTGTCAGAAGGTCTCAAAAGGGAATTACATGACCCCTGGACACGGCAATTGGTTATAAACGTGAACCAATTGCCAAGCATCAGAATTTTGATCATGTGACCATGGGGTTGTTGTGACAGTCATGTGAAAAATGATCATAAGTTACTTCTTTCACTGTAACTTTAGACAGTCACTAAATGAATGATTGAATGAGTAGTCAAGGGCTACTTGTATTGGAACAAGTTTAAAGGGGTGGATTTAGAGAACTTTGGAGCCAACTCAGCCAGAGAAAACCTCCAGCTCTGGCAGGGTTCAGACAGCTGAGAATACAGATTCTAATTCCAGGTTGATCTACAACAGGGCTCCACAAACTTGGCAATTTTAAGACTTGTGGACTTCAACTCCCAGAATTCCACAGGTCTTAAAGTTGTCAAGTTTGAAGACCTCTGATCTAGAATGTTGCATAACACAAAAATCAGTTGTATTAATTTTGTATGCATTGTAAACATTAATTCATTGTAATTGCAAAAATGTATTAATTTTATTTCAAACAAGGAAACTTATCTAGTTACTGATCTAGTTATATTAGAGCCAGTATTGACTTTTGTGATGCTCTCAATCTTTGTTTACTTATTGCTTATGAGACAGTTTCTAGCAAAAGCGTCGTAAATCGGAGCCATGTGACTGTGAGTGCTGGAAATGGCCATAAATGCTGGTTGCTGAGTGCCCAAAATGCAGAAATGTGATCATGGGGTGTTGGGAGTGAATGTTAGAACTTCAAATCCAGGTTGTAAAGTCCTATTTTCAGAGTCTGTCATAACTTCGAATGGTTGCTAAGCAACTATCGTCAGATGGTGACTACCTGAATCTTATGTTGTATATAGTTAGACCTCAACTTACGACCACAATTGGGCCCAAAATTTCTGTTCCTAAGTGAAAAATTTGTTAAGTGAGTTTTGTCCCATTTTACGACTTTTCTCACTTCAGTGAATCACTTCAGTTGTTAAATTAATAGCGTGGTTGTTAAGTGAATCTGGCTTCCTTATTGACTTTGCTTGTCAGAAGGTCGCAGAAAGGAATCACATGAACCCAGGACACTACAACCGTCATAAACATGAGTCAGTTGTCAAGCATCCAAATGTAAATCACGTGAACATGGGGATACTGGAATGGTCATAAATGTGAAAAAGGATCCTAAATCACTTTTTTCAGTGCTATTGTAATGTTGAATGGTCACTAAGTGAACTGTGATAAGTCAAGGACTACCTGCATAGGTAGATGTCCAGACAGCTTTTTTCTATCTGCCTACAACTTCAACCACTCTTTCCAGTCCTTCCCCTTTTCCATCATGGCCGCAGCAACCCACCTTCCTTTCCCATGGGAAGGTTACTGTCCGTGAGAAAATGAGTTTTATCTGCATTTCTCAGCTTCTCTTCTCAGGAGAAAGAGCAGCTTGATTAAATGGCAGGACAGCCAACAGCCCTGGGCTGGGACATACTGAAACAATAGTGAGTGAACTGTGAACTGGTGAACTGTCACCAGTGAAATGTTGTGACAGTCCCTCCCTTTGTCTGAAATTAAAACTTAAGCGTCATAGAATTTAAATGAAATTAAACCCTTTGGGGAAAAAATACAGGTTGTCCATTTATAGGGTCTCCTCTAGTTCAGGGGGCTGGACTAGAAGACCTCCAAGGTCCGTTCCAGCACTATTCTGATGATTTTAACTTCTTTCCCTATTATTCTATTGAAAGGGAGAGAA